CCCCCCCCCCGGTTGCAAATTGAGTTATGAATGACAGAAGCGTGGGCAGTTTAGTATCAAAGGCACTTTCCGGGAATTTAAATGCCAGAGTAAACAAGGGCAATGGTGATAACCTTTGATTTTCACTCCTCCACCCAACTTAAGCACATACAGGCAAAAGAAAAATTACGTACTATTATGGTTGTTGTTTGCAGTATTATGGTTAGGGATTATCAGCTTTCTGGAAGACTGCTAACTATCAGAATCCTGCAATGCCTAATCATAAGGAGAAACAACAGAACTAACATGTAATTTAAATATAAAATGTAAAGAAATAAGAAATTAAGTCAGATCTTTAATGTTTAGGGGTCTTCAAAATCATATACAGAAGTAACATATTTCCCCTAAAGATTACAATTCCACTTTCTACTATCAACTGGACCTGAGCAAACAGGCACTAGTCTTCATGATAATACAGTTGATTATGCAGATTTTTTTTGTTTAAAAATTACTGTAAAACATAACCAAAACTCTATTTTGTAAAATATAAAATGTTTAAAAAACATTATCCCTCAATGATGCTACAGTGCAGGAGAAAGCTTAACTTAGATATGTTCATGAATCTGTAACTCCCACTGTTTCAATTCCTTAAGAAGGCATTTTGAAAAACAAATATAAAATTTGGGGCTCATCACTACATTAGTAATTTGAGACTAACAAAGATTCCTGGTGAGGTGAGCATACTAATACCCAGCACTCCCGCCCCACTCCCACTATGTGGGAGGCCAGCCAAGTGTAAAATTCAGGAAGGTCTGTCACTCTGTTTCTATCCTTACTCTCTGTTCACTACTAGCATCATTTTATTTCAATTTACACTCACCCAATTTTATGAATCTGTAAGATCCAGAAAAGTAAGAAGCAAAGATTATGTAAACTATTATCTATTACAGATCAGATACATGAGAGTGTGGGTGGCTAAGGCTGAAATGGCTGACCTCTGTAAACCATCTTTCCTGTTTCCTGATACAATTCCTAACAAAATAAAGGCTACGCAAGACTTGTTCTTTATTTTAAAACGTTACTTAAATGGTTTCTGATGTATTGCTGAAGCAGTAATGTTCCACAAGAGTACACTGCCTGTTTCAGGAGGCCGCCCTGCCTGGCCTGGGAGGAGGGAGAGAGCGCCTGTCACTGACAGTCTTCTTCAGATGAATGAGCTTCTATTCACCCTCCAGGGACAGGGCTACTCACTTCCAACAATGACAAATGTGCAAATGCAACATCTCAACCCTAGCTCTCTGAGACGCTAACCTCATATACTAGTGCCACGCTTGACAACAGTCAAAGGGGAGGCTGAGAGGAGGGGTTTCCTAAATGTCTCCTTCTGGGGTTCTAGAAATTTGGGAGAGCAGTTCATACTGTAACTGAAGAAGAGACTCAAGTTTAAATTAAAAATACATAGACCAAACTTCCAGAGAACCTGGCAGAACACTCTGCAGTTACTTCTAGATTTTCTCTGGGAATATCTCTGCTATCACGGTAACTTGTGTATTAACAGTTTAAATGTCTTTGATTCTTGCTAATTCAAGAGGTGGCCTAAGACTGACACTATGACCTATGAAATCATAAGCTTTGAAATCATGAAGGCCTCTTGTACTACCTATGCCTACACTGTGGAAGTTTGGACCTTAGAGAAGAGCAGAACATTTCAGAAAACCAGCAACTCCCTGATTTAAAAAAAAAAAAAAAAAAAAAAAAAAAAAAAAAAAAAAGCCCTGGATTTTTGCTGATTTTAGGAGTAGCACAGTAACAATTTATGCTGTGGAGGAAAAAAGAAATGTCACAGCCAGGCTGTGTCATATCAACAAATATGACATCTGCACACTACAAAAAAGACAACTTTTCATTTAGGAACACTCTGCCTTTATACTAGATTTTCTCTTCTTAAATAAAATTTATGAAGTTCCATAGTGGGAAAAAAAACCCATTATGACAATTTCTCCTCTATTATACATGTGTTGATGACTTTTAAATGAAGGTTAAATTTGTGTAAGGTCAGCACAAGTTTCTTCCCACGGCCCTCAGTAACTGCTTCTCCTTCATATTTGGCTGAGGGTCTCCACTGCCCCTTACTCTGGAACCTCTGCAGGAAGTGAGATTTCTTTTTGTTCTTGTTGGTAAATTAATAACCTAACAGCCTATGCCCATTGTGGGGAGTAAAACAAGTGAAAAGAACTTTGGAAAAGGGAGCTCAAGTCCACAACCATAACCATAAAGCTCAAGAGGCTGAAGCTCAAAACCTGCATTACTTGCCATTGTGGCTCTGGGTCATGCTACCACCTAAGTTCTCCTCTTTAAAATGGTTGAGTCTCGGGGCGCCTGGGTGGCGCAGTCGGTTAAGCGTCCGACTTCAGCCAGGTCACGATCTCGCGGTCCGTGAGTTCGAGCCCCGCGTCGGGCTCTGGGCTGATGGCTCAGAGCCTGGAGCCTGTTTCCGATTCTGTGTCTCCCTCTTTCTCTGCCCCTCCCCCGTTCATGCTCTGTCTCTCTCTGTCCCAAAAATAAATAAACGTTGAAAAAAAAAAAATTTAATAAAATGGTTGAGTCTGAGCTCTCAACAAGTCCAAAATAACAGTAACTCAACTTTGTAAACTTGACATGCATCAAGTGAGAAGTCCCAACTACACATCATATAAATTTCAGAACCACTCAAGAAACTTCTACCAGTTATTCCCAAATCCACAAGAGAAATGATGATGGAACAGAGGATAAGCCTCCAACTTTCCAATTTGAGGAAAGGGTGTTGGCTACCTTATTAGGAGTAACAAAATATCTTACCAAAAAATGAAGTATGCATGGATGATAGAAAAATTCCAAACTGGATTGTGGTAATGGATGCATACTTCTACAAATTTAGTAAAAATCAGAGTTGTATACTTAACAGGGGTAGGTGTGAATTTTATACTCTGCAATTTATACCTTCCAACTCTTTTTTGGTTTTTGATGCAGGGCTAACCAGGTAATTGAGGGAAATTATCAGAGGCTAGACATAAGAAAGCAGAAATTCAAAGAGTTTTATAAAAGAAACCACTGAAAACAGTGCTTGCACAGGGGTGGGAAATAGAGAAATGGATATGTTCCATTCTGTGATTAGAATTTGGGTTTTTAATGGACCAATACACCTTGGCCCTCACAAGGTGAGGTGTCCCTAAGCAACCGGCAGAAGCAACTATAAATGGAAATTTTCTCTGATAGAAGGTCATCCAAGCCCAGGCCTCAAAGAATTCTCATATACAAAATTCCAGGAAGGTAAATTTACAATAAAAAATGCAGGAAGTACACAAGGAAATAAGTTATCTTGGGCAGGAGTAAGCAAAACAATTGTGTAATCAGATTCATAATGACTACAGATACTCAAATGATCAAAACTAGAGTATTAAAAAATATATTATGTTAACAGAAATGAAAGAAAAGCAAGCATACAAAGTTAAAATACAGTAAAAAATGACTAGCCGTATTTAAGAAGGATCAAAGTAGAACTTCAAGAGAAAATCTGTAACTTCTATACCTCCTAGAAATTTAGTATATATCACATACTGTTAAAAAGAGACGTACTAACCTGTAAAATCAAACTTAAGAACTTATTCAGGAAAACTAAGAAATTTTCACAATATGGAGACAATGCACAAAATTAAGAGACATGCAATTACACTGAAAGTATCTACTATTCAACCATGAGGGATTCAGAAACAAAGACAGAGAAAGGGGGAGTGGCAATAGTGAAAGAGAATGAAAAATTTTCAGAGTGGATGAAATATAAATTTCAGATTTGGGAACACAAAGTCTAAATAGGGGAATAAAAAGAAATCCATAACCAGACATACTACAGTGAATCTTTACAACAACAAAAACTCTAGTTTTAAAACAAGGTCTTAAAAACAGAAAGTAAATACAAATTATCCACAAAGTAAGCTCAGAAAGACTGACTGATGACTTAACAGCAATGACGGATGCCAGAGATGGGGAAATAGTATCTTCAAATCACTGGAGTTGGGGACCTGGCAGGGG